CCCCAAAACCCCAAAACCCCAAAACCCCATTAGGTTCCAGTGTTATTGAAACAAAAAGTTTAGAACACAAAAATTTTCTAATTGATAAACATGATAAATCCTAATCCTAGATTTGCGTCAATTTTTATATAGCACAACAGCTTGCCCCATATATCCAATCGGTCATACCAAGACTTATCCAACTTAGTAATTTCTCGCTAAAATCTACTCTAAATTTTCATAATTTTTCTGAAGTTATGCTAGATTTTAAACTCGAAAATTGAAGCTCTTGACAACCAAAATTAGTAAAACTCAGATCTCATAGGTCTGAAATTGGAGCCCTGAAGCTCAAGATATGTCTCAAAAGCAGATATTGGCTAAAACACAACTTCATGGTTAATTTTAAGACGATTTGGTTTACTGGAATTCGTCCTCATCTGACTCAGACTCCACAAGGATATCAGTGTTGGGGTAGATGACTTCAGCAGGGATCAGAGCGAAGAACTTCTGCATTATATAGACAATTTTATCATACAGACTCATTGTCTTGTTCTTGATGAAGACTATTTGGCCAATTCTTGCGATAAATTCTATGAATTCAGCGAAATCTATTCTTTCAAGTTTCTTGTGCTCCTCCATTTCGTCTACAACTGTCATTTTGCAGAGGGAAAATGCTAGTTGGATGTTTTGGGTGTCGATGTTGATGTCGAGTTTGTCGCTAGAAAGAGATTAGGAAGGAGATTTGAAGGGTTTCAGAGGAATTTTGAGAGGTCTGGAGGGGAAATAGTTGGTGATGAGTGTTTGTAGAGGTCAAAAATATTAAGTTTGTGGTGAGTTAAGAAGGTAAAGACTTGAATATTTTAAGCACAGCTTTATGGTACTGTATTAAAATGAATCTTATATTATTTCTCCTAATTCCGACAAAATTATCTTGGTAAAAAACCAAAAATTCAAATCTTCAGCTAAAAAATGCTCTCAAAGTATAAAACTTACTTTCAGACCCTAATCGTGTCTTGTCTGAGCCAATAGTTATAATGCTTATGCTTGAACATCTAAAAAAAATTAAAGGAGGAACCTTACTTGAAAGACTGTTTTCAAAGAGGTAATATTGGCCATATACAAGTCATCTATCTCCATCAGCCAAAGCTCATCCTTTCTCCATCGTTGGCCAGTAAACACATGCTCTGAATTGTTAAATATGTTGTCTGTGAGTAGCCTTGAAACAGCGGCTGGCAGATTTTTTCAAGTTTTGGAGAGAATGTACTTGTGGTAAGCAATCCTGATAAGAATCTCATAAAACTCATATCTACAGAGAAGCTTCTCTGGGTTTTGATCTCTGTTAACTTCTTCATAATTAGTGGTTATATAAACACAGTATCAATAACACTCATTGGTCAAGTTCCTTTATCAGGGATATTCCACATATGAGCTAGCTTTCCAAACTCCAGGAAGGAGATGTAGGGATAAGAAGATACCCCAATGCTATAGTTGAATATCTCTTTAATTCTCGCAATATTATTGTAAAACATTGAGTAAATTGTGTCATATTCTTCTTGTCCCTTGATGAACTTCTTAATCCGAGAATGGCTAAAGTCACAATCTAAAGACATCTTTAAGGTTTCAGGAGTGTCTGGCTTCCAGTCTTTAAATATAGAATTATGAACATTAAATTGTCGAATCAGTAATCTTTTTCTGATCCGTTTCTTATGTAACAGAATCTAAAATTTAAAATTTGCAGTTACCTCTTGGTTTGCAGCAGGAATTTCTGCTTGAATAAAATGGAAAGAGTCTTTATTTTGTTCCATCAAAACTGACAATGAACTTGCTATCCCCTGGGGGCATAAATGTTGCATATAAGTAGTACTGGCTAATCTCTTCATTGTCTATCTCAGGCTGGTCAATCACAAGACGCTTATGAGTATCGCCTATCTCATCAGGCTCAATAATAAAATGAGGCTGTTCCTTTTTCATTAAAGAGAACACTTCACTGCTGTAGATGGCTCCAAACTTGCCTGATTTGTAGAAAGGAACTCTTGCTCTCTCTACTATCCTGAAAATTATATTGAAGATCCTGGATCTCTGAATACATTTGATCACTTTCTGCTTCCCAATATTCTTCGATCGGATACTATATAATCGTTAGAAAAGGATACATTTCAGAAAAATCCAAGACTGAACGGAATAGACTAAAATATAACTGTAATTAAGTGAAATTGAGAGATTTTCTAAACATCTAAAATTATAGCCTAAGTCTATACTTGTTTAACTTCCTCAGAGCAATTTTATAACAAAGCTACTTACCTTCCTAAATTTTCAAACCTCATCTCCATTATTTCCTCAATGCCTTTATTTAACACTTTTTCTCTTATGAGTCTTGGTGGTAAAGCGATGTGCAAATTTCTCATGGATTATTTTCTCAATAATAGTAGGTCTATTTTCTTGTCACAAATCCCTTCACATTGCGGTATGTAGTGTAAATCTCGTTGTTTAATATCTTAGATATCCTTGTAGTAAGGTCATTTTTCTCTTCCTTCACGTAGATCCTCTTGCTGGGAAGCTTGTTCCTTAGCAAGCAGTCATAAAACTTATCGATTCTAATCATCTTATGTAGCTTCCATTGCGAAAATGTTCCTGTAATTGTTGGAATTTCGACACTATTGGCTAGTTTTAACTCCTCAGGGGAGTTATTATCAATAATCTTTTGATGATAATAGCCTCAATTAAATTCACTTGAGTTTTTGAAATTGGCATGAGCGGTTAATGGGTTTGCAATGATGCAAGTGTACTTCCACTTGTCTCATATCCAACAACTTGTGCTCGACTTCCATTTGTGACCATCAAGTATTTCGATATGGCCAAGGAATCTGTACAGAATTATTCTACTATCAGTGGTCTCAAATTTTGTCTTTCTCTCTTTGATAAAGCCAAGTTTTCTCCTTTGGCTTTGCTTATATCTCTCAAACATTAATGCTTGGCGTTTCTGCCTATCAAGCCTTTCTTGCATTGTGTGGTCCACCCTCCTACTAATGCAGATATCGCTTTTATATTTAATGATTCGGTTCCTGCTTAAAGTATCCTTATTTACTAAATGGTGCTTTTCCAATCTTGTTAGGCTTGTTTGAAGCAATATTTCTCAAATTTTCTCGCTTAATGTTGCCACTAAGGTGGACTGCTAGAAGTGACTTTGATTTCTTAATTCCTTCGTACAAAATCTTCAACTCTTTAATGCCAAGGTTGCAGCTGCTGATGTTCAAGTGTATTAAAGATGGATTGTTGATAATATGTTTCTTAAGAAGTTCCACCAGTTTTCCTGAATTATATCCGATAAAAGGAATAGTTGAAATATCTAGCTGCTGTAAATGCTTTACATTCTCAATAAGAGTGAAAAATAAAATCAATTCTTTACTGGATATCTCAGACCATGATAGGTTCAAGCTCTGAAAAGAGAAGTTATCCATTACAAATTCTGCTAAATGAGTTATTGATTCAGTGTTAAAGTCTACTGACGAGAGCCTGAGATTTTCTATCATTCTGTTTTTACTCAGCTCTCTCATTAAAACATTCATTAAGGATGAATTTGGGATGCATTTGTTAAGCTCGAGATGACGTATTCTAGTCTTGGCTTCTCTACCATCAATTTTTCAGTTCCAATGGCTGATATTAATAGCTTTGATCAATGCTTGGATGGACTTCTCTCCAACAACGTTGTTCTGAATAATTAGAGACTCTAAACATTAGCTGTAGCCTACCAATCGGGTTGTAAATCATCCCTTTGATGATGTACGAAATCGCTTTGTCGTCCATGTTGCAGTTCGTCAGGTTGATGCTCTTGATGTTTGTGTTCAAGTAGTTCATCGATCTGCCCAGAGCCTTCGAGATCGGCCTGTTGATCGGGTAGTTGTCAAAGGCAAGGCCATCATACTTGATTTTCTTGGCGAGAGGGAGAGGTAAGACACCCATCTTTTTACATTTCTCAATGTAGCTGGTTTGGAACTTGAAGAAGTCTTTCTGACTTTGATTAGCTTTATCCTCAAAGTTTAACTCATCAAACTTTTTATTCAAAAGAGGGTCATCAGTGATACTCTCTCGTGCAGTATAAAAGACTCTTTCAAGGCTTCTAAAATTATTATTACCTTTAGCATCAGAGACCATATCATTAATGACTTCATAGTCATCTCTATCTTCAAATTTATCCTTTAAACCACTAAGAAGGTTCCTATCAGAGGGAGGGGTATCCCTCCCTCTAGTGTACAGCCTTCTGTTGAGTGTAGGGATAAGTTTCTCAGTGAGATCACGCATCCGATCCTTCTTAGGCTCTGTTTTCTTTGGTGTATCTAAATATAACTTCCTAAGTCCTACTTAAGAGGTTGTTGTCACTCTCTGAGTCAGAAGCAAAATCCTCCAGTTTTATGTTATGATAGATCTTATTTATGCTTCAAAATCTTTGATGTCTATATTGGTTTGAATTAGAGAAAATTCTATTCATACAAACGAGGAAGGGCATATAATCCATAGCTAGTCAAGAATTAAAATTTCAAATTTCAATCAGTAAAGTGTCCTTTTAGCTAATTTATATTGATTTTAGCACGAAATATTGCTGATTTTTGAAAAAATCAGCAAAGGGAGATAATTCTTGGTATAAATTTTTCACAAGCCAGACATTTTCTGGAAGTTTGAATTTTTAGAGTAAACAAGAACTAAAGATGGCAGTGAAAATTCAACAGAGAAGACTTCTGGAGAAGCTAAACTATATAAAAGTTATTCCATATTTGGCTTGGTTTAGTATGACTCACTCTTTGTTGCATGAACCGATCAATTTGAGGTCTTCTTCTTGGAATCTTGAACAATGGACTCCCTAAATTCTCTCTCAGTATCGGAGTCTTTGATTGAAGTTTCCTTTTGAATCTTTTCTCAATATTTGATTTCTTCTATAAAATGGTTGAAATAATGCCTAAAAAGATAGAGTAATCTAATGTATGCAAGAATAAAATTAGGTGTTTTATCTCCACCTCTATTCTAATCTTTCAAATTTGATAAAAGAATGGTCTACAATTATATAGAGCTTGTTGTATCAATTTCTACAACTCAAAGGCCTGTCTGGCTAATACAGATCATTATGAATATGCTTGAATTAAAATGTCCTAATCCGAGCCAAATTTCCTGGAAAGCCTACCAAATAATGCACATACCTTTCCTCTTATTCGAGATGTTCTTGCTGCTTGGTTATGTATAGACTCTGGGCTTTTATACATTTGAGGAGTTTCTGTCAAGAAGAACTGAGACTCTGATTTTTCCTTCTGGCGAAAGGTCACTCTCGACCCAGGCAACTCAGACTTGACATCCTTATTGAAGTTCAAGGTTCCTTGATTTGACCTAATATTTCTCGACCTAATTAATAAATAAACATCTTTAAGTAGTGGGTCCCTGATTCAAAATGAGATTTAGCAGGGGAAGACTGTGGCAAAAATTCAAAGCAACATCACCAATAAATACCTCATTTCACTCTGGTTAGGCTCTTATGCTCTTCTTTGTATTATTTGAGAAGTACTCTTCTCGAAGATTTTTCTTTGATAATTTTGAATTATAAAACAACATATGTGGTGCTCCTTTCCTAAAGATAATTAACTGTTTGTATAAAACCTCATAATAATTTACTTCTATCTTAAAGCCAGCCCTCTAACTTCTTAAAAATCAAATGAAATAATTACTTTCTTGTCTCGGCATCTGTCCTTGAAGTGTGACTCCCAAAAGTATCCTCCGCAGTTTTCATATCGATATCTTCTATACAAACATAATTAAAATCAGCATTGGCTGGGCTTCTAGTAAAACCTCTGGTTTTACTAGCAATAGCCTACGTACTCTTTTTCATTTTCTTTTGAATCGAAATAATATACTTTATGACTTAATTATTATTTCAGTTTCATAAAGTTCATAAGGGGTTTTGGGGTTTTGGGGTTTTGGGG